GTTTACTAAAGCTGAAGCTGGAAATCAGGGGTTCTATTTAATAGTATAAACCCTACTAAAATCCACTTATACTCTTTCAGTCTACTTTATGCAAATTGTTACTAAAGATTGGAATCAAATGTTTAATTCAAATTAATTTAGTCGAAAATATATAAATGAATTCATTCGAATATTCATATATATAATGCAACTACTACATATATATATATATATATTTAGTATAAATATAAATATTTATTTCTAAATATATAAATATGCATACTCATGCCATAAAAATATATTATATATATATCTTGAATTGTTATAAATTTGAATTTATGTGAATTTATATAAACTTAATCAAATTAATTCAAATTCAGGTTATAAAAATTCGAATCTAAAATTAAATTCGATTCCAATCTCTCTCTAATTATTTGTTGTTACATACTTCCAGAAAATGGCAACCCAGAAATACCGATAGTTAATAACATAGGAGTCGATATAGCCAAATAATCCCAACTTGCAGCATTGTCACTAGAGATGTGCGAATGCATATTTTTTTGGCTCTGCATTGCATAATGTAGTATAATGCAGCATGCGACATTATGCAATCATGGTGTTCTACCAAAATCAAGAAGCAAAATTCATACCCAATCTTTCTCATCTCTAGACAGAAGGTTACTATTTCATGGTATTTTCAAACCTCATATTAGTTAGCCTGCTTATACAGGTAGGAAATCACTAACTGATGCTACATATCACTTAGTATTGCATATGATATAAAATATAATATTTTATTAATTTTTTGTTGCATTAAAATTATATAGCAATTTCTATGTGCATTTTTAAATTTTAAAAAATGTCTACATTACATTATGCGACATTATGTTTTGCATAATGTAATGCACATAATGCAGAATGCCCATCTCTAATTGTCACCCGTCCAAATAGGACCATAACGTTGAGAACCCACAAAAAATGATCGAGAGAGCATGAGTCCTTGAGCAGTTGCACTATGCTTTAATAGTCAACTACATTAATAATCTGTCCTCTAAAAATTATGTGAATCGAAATTCATAGAACTCACAAAAGAATGCCCATAAATATTATGCAGGTCTCGATGTACCCAACCTCCATAACGAATAAGATCTTTCGGCATTGTAATTCCTGGACCATTGAATGTTGATGGCTTAGGTTCATAGGTTCATGCGGTTAATTGTTTTAGATAAGCTATTAAAAAAAGCTTTAAATGTACAATCTCGAAATGATACCTCATTCATATCATTCCACGTGAACAAAATTTCTGTTGATCCCTTTATAAAGGAAATATAAATTATTATTGTATATCAATATGGATGTTTTGTTTTAATTATTAAATATAAAGGTTGTACACTTAATTCGGGAAAAATAGTAATCAGCTTTGAACATTATACATTAAGGAATCAAGAAGATAGCTTAATCAATCAAGTTATGCGTAATGCTGTAATTATTTTCTTGATGTATAATATAATGCTTGAATTTAATCTGAATTAGGTTTACAATACTCGTATTAAATGAAATAAATTTACCTTATATTGATCAAATGCAAATTTTTTACTCCACCATTCTTGCGCCGAAGGATTAGTAAAATCTACCCACGAGGAACTACCTATTTTTTATATATAAATTTATGAAATAATAAATTTATGAAATTTATGAAATTTAAAAAATAAATCGAAAAGATACATGCCTGGTCTGCATGACCCTTCGTACTCTTTACCATCGGACTCTTTAACAAAAAGATCTAGATCCCTAGCTTCTTTGTATATATAATAGCTTTCATCTCGCTTGACATGTGGGTCAATAATCGTTACCATCTAACAAAGGATTTACACGTAGTTATCATAATACCAACATTAAATGTCGCGGTTGAAGCTGGAAATTGGATTTATTTTAATATGGAATTTTTTAGAATTTTTTAAAATACTTTGGGTGTAATTTTTTTTTTTATAATCAAGTTAGGATTAAGAGTTAAAGTTTATAATAAAAGAGTATAAGTGGATTTTAGTAGGGTTTATACTATTAAATAGAACCCCTGATTTCCAGCTTCAGCTTTAGTAAAC